CAGACTACAGTAAATACTGATGTACCCAAATATTCTATTTTGGGAACACTATTATTATTTTAGATAAACATGACAGACTAACTACCGCTACCATTACCCAGCCACCTTCCAGTGGCTAAGTAAAACATGACGACCGGCCTTGGATTTGGTCGGACCACCTCTGATCATAAAACACTGCGTCATCCCTCAAAAATGTGGTTTCCTTACAATACATGTATTGCACAAACAAACAATCAGAATAAAGTAATATCCAACCACTAGAGGGCGTGAACATATCGATATAAATCAGTATGTGTATAAAGAGAGCACCCATTTCTGCAATTGTGGAAGCCCGTCTTATATAACAGCGGCTATGGAGTTTGTGATCCATTTGACGGAACTATCTCATAATGTGGGGGTGTTAGATTCTAAAAGAGGGATACATGTTGTTTTCTGTGCCAAGTCTATATTTTTAATAGATTGGTAACATTATTTTTTTTAACTAAATCATCTGCAATCGAAGGTTTACCATCTCATTAACAAGCATAACAGACCTGGACAGAAACGTATTCGTAATTACTTGATTTTGAGAAGAAAAACACGCATGGTTCCCACGATAATTATGAACGCATTGCAGTTTAATGACTTTACAGAGAGAATTATGTACAAGAAAAACGACAAATTCACAAAAAAGGTCAAATTTTGATGAACCCGCTCATAAAACACACACAATTTTGACAATCACTTTGTTAAAGGGTTTGCTAAATATATACACAACCGGAATCTACTTATATACAACTTACAATTTACATTAATCATCAGAGATTACAGATTTCCCGTCCTGTTTATTACAAGTACTGGTTAAACAAACATCTATACATATCTGCAATATGATAGTTATGCATTTTTAATAAGGTGACATGACCATATATGGTTCTTGAATGTTTTGATCAGATCGTGTGATCAATGTCTTCAACAAAGCACTGGTTATTAGTTGAATGCAGCGATCTGCAATAGTGCTCAATATATCGGTTTATGTGAGTATGGCCGCTAGAGGGCGCACAAGTCAAAGCGGCACCCAGGATCTACTCATGATCCACGATTGAAGGAGAGCGGTGGGAATGTATACATTTCCAATTATTGAAAATTTTATTTTTTTAAATTTACGTCTTGTGACAATGTACTACAACTAGTTCTTGAATAAAAGTATAATAATAAAAATTTAAACACCAGCTAAAAGTATTCTCGGCTCACCTAAGCAGACGCTTAGCCCAACTACATATGCACTGTTCATGCTCCTGTACTAAGTGCAGTTGGTAAAAACTGATGAACGTCATGCCAGGAAAGCGTATGGGAAATCAAGTCCAATGGGAAAGGTAAGGAAATAGCATTTCACGGATATCGTGTTATTTTGCCTCGTTCGGGGAAGAAAATTTGAAAAGGGTATATTCAGAAGAATATATTACTCGAGTACAGTATTGTCCCTGTGTGCCAGTGTAAGTTGCGTATCTCCGTCTGAAATAACAATCGTTTCTCGATTTGTATGTTAACGCTCTAAATTTGAAAACAAAAAAGTATAAAAAAGCAACATTTTGTGGGCAACAGGAAACATATGTTATTTCGCCGAATGCAATCAGTTCAGTGTGTGGTTTATAACGCCTCGCGTCAAGATTCCGATACCCTACTAAAAGATGTTATGAACAATACATGTTGTTTAGAATGACTTTGGTTTATTTTGAAGATACACATGATGTACACATCCATGAAGGTCGAGATCTCGGCGAAACATTTTAAAAATTACGTTTGACATCAAGTGCAACGGCTTTGATTTCACAAAACGTGAATTTCATAGTCTGCTTCGCTTTCAATATACGTATCCAATGCCGCCAGTTGTAGAGAGAAAAAAATACGTGTACGCATGCACAGATGTGAATAATCTGTTTGTATATTTCCAGTGACGTCACTTCAGTAATAGTCTGCTGAACCTTTCCAAAAGCGGAAATAATTCATTATGCGCGAGTGATCGTAAAATTGTGCGCCTCGTTATGGCCAACAATGACACAGCGTCGTTCTAGTCAGGGTATGTCATGATATTGACAATAATTCAGCTCTGTTTGTTGTATGTTGTATTAGGGGATACTCCTGGAATAATAATATTCCTTGCTTGCTAGCGTATATTTATATATTTCAATTGACACTGTAATTAGTACCGGGTCCATAGGTCTGAATCTCAATGTAAAATGACCAAGCTGGCGCACTGAAACAGATGTCAGCACGTAACGTTGGATGTCCATTGCACTCAAGTCACATGATCGGATATGAGTCGTGTTGTTACTTATTTCATTGTATTATATGCGTGTAGTTTAACGTTGCTGTGTTATTTAGTGAATTTTACCATTCTTCACAGTCAAGTTCACAATATTGCAGATGGTGATCAAATGAGCTTGGACGCTGTTTCACCGTATTTGCTCAGACGGCAACCTGATGTCAGCCAGAACCGTACTGTGAACATCAAACCATTGAAAGCTGCTCCACCGCCTAAATTGCCATCGAATGCTGGCTCAAACCTTACTGCATACATCAAGGCGAAGTTTGGAAACTCTTGCTATAAGGAAGAATCTTTCTCTCGGTGGTGGAGAAGTTACTTCTCCCTAGAGGACGAAATGTTAATGGATAATAATACAGGTTGTAGTAGATCTATATCCGATGTGTACATTGTTGGCGTTAAAAAGTGCGCCACCGACGCCATTAGAGATTTAATGGCTATTCACCCATATATAATGTACAGTCGGACAAGGACGCAGGAAATCCATTTTTATGATAGACATTTTGATGAAGGATATGGATGGTATCGGAGACAATTTGGCTTTTCTAAAGAATGGCAGGTGGTTTTGGAAAAGACTCCTCAGACATTCTCCTTTCCGGAAGATGCTCCAAGAAAGATGGCTGAACTTAATCCGCAGACGAAGATTATTATGATACTTTGCGATCCTGTTGTCAGGGCGATTTCAGACTATGTACACGAGCTTAAAGTAAAATCCTATAAGAAAATTAACCCTCCTTACTATCGAATCAACCGACAATCTTTTGAACTTTCAGTATTCAAAGAACCTGGCAAGGTAGATGTTGATAACGAGCTCATCAATATGGGCATGTACTCGAAACACATGAAGAGGTGGTTGGAATATTTCCCAAAGACGCAAATACACGTGGTTGATGGCAACGATTTTAAACTAGACCCTGTATCAGAAATACAAAAGATCGAGATATTCCTGGGGTTACCAAACTTTCTACAGAAGTCACATTTAGAATTTAGACCTCCAAAATTGTTCTGCGTCACCTTCCCTAATAGTCGGTGTCCAAGAACGAAGAAAAAGGGAAGAGAACATCCTGAAGTACCCTACGAGGTTCTAAACAAACTCTACGAGTTCTATCGACCATATGACAATGAACTGCAGCATTTGTTGAATAAAACCTTCTCATGGATGCGATAGAGATAATTAAAAAATACATTAAATCACCATATAGACATAGAATCAAAGGTCATTTTCATTCATTCATTCATTCGTTCATTTTTTATCCTAACACCATACACACACGGTTACGATTGGCAACCTCCCAGATTCTTAGAATGTTTCTTATATCATCGTGACGCTTATTCTTCATCTATTATTTGTATCTTGTAACAACTGAATTTCAAAATCAATTAAATAACTATTAATTAATATCAATTAGCCTTGTACTGTACATCATTGAATATGACCAAACCGATAATGATTTTAAAAGGTTCTTAAATGCCGGGATCAGACTAAAATAGATGATGAGTTTAATAATAAAAACAAAACTTAATTTTTGTCTACATACTAGATTTTTAACTGCCCAGCATAATTTTTCGTGTTGCCATGATGATGACGTGTTGTCATGATGTAATGTGCGGCCCCAAATTTATGCGCTGCTTGACTCAATATCAGCGAATTCAATAAAGATGCCTAGCTAAGACGCTAGTAATATCTCACTAAATATTCATATACATAAGTTATTATTACACTAACGATATTTTCATCCAACCACTGAAATTTGCAGTCAAAAACTGATAGCATTGAGATATTACTAGCATCGTACCTCGGCAGAGTGAAATGCTGTTTGTAAGAGGAACTGTCGGTATACACTGACTAAATTGAACCCAGTCAAGCACACACTTTAGAGTAGTATTAACATATAAGACCAAGGACTTATAAGATTAGTGTATACGAGTGGTGTGATATGCGGTGAAGATCTCGCGAGAATTAAGGAAGTAACGCAAATTGCGAGATGGGCACAAAAACGCAATAGTTGTATCTTTGCACATTCACAAAGCGTGTATTACGTGAATTGTTTGTTTTTTTAATGAATACGACAATAATCTCGCTCATTTCTCTTTGCCGGCGCAATCCAACATATCTAAACATCCATGTTTTATGATGCCATTGGATAAAATACGTTCCATTGACGAGCGCATGGATCTCGCGAGATTATATATATCACCATACATAATTGAATAACCGTATTTTAAACATCTTTGATAACATAATATCTATATGAAAACTATGCTTGATTTTGCTTTTAATCAACTCCATCGTATAGCTAGAAAGAACTATTGTTAAGGTAACCGAATAATCTGCCACAGCTGTTGGTTTCTATATTACAAATGAGCTCTGCCGTATTGAATGTTGTTACCCTTAGCAACAGAGCACAGGTTGCAGACTACTAAGGGTAGGTACTAGGGTGCTAAAGAGTACACTATGACATATAGTGGTTGTAGGTACAGTGTGTGTAATATAATCATTCACCCATGAAAAGTAACCAATGGAAACCAATGAAAAGTCTGGGGAATTAACATTTTGTTCAGTGGAAATGTGTTACCAAAGATGAAATCGTGAAAATTGTCATTGTATGTTTACAGTCAAGGTCAATATAAATTTCGTGTGTTTGCAAAGCACCACAATAATTGAAACGCCACTGTCGTTACGAGTTATCAGCGAACATTTCACAATCAGCAACCATGATGTCATATTCAGCAAATATGATGTCATAACTAGCAACTATGATGTCATATTTAGCAAACGTGATGTCATAACTAGCAACTATGATGTTATATTCAGCAAACGTGATGTCATAATTGGCAAATATGATGCCATATTCAGCAAACGTGATGTCATAACTAGCAACTATGATGTCATATTCAGCAAATATGATGTCATAACTAGCAACTATGATGTCATATTCAGCAAACGTGATGTCATAACTAGCAAATATGATGCCATATTCAGCAAACGTGATGTCATAATTGGCAAATATGAGAACAATGTTGTGCTAGTAAGTATGTACAAGCGGGAAACTTTGGTTATTACGTAATGACAATTGGATTAAAACGCTACGACATTTAGAGCGGAAATGGGTTTAGTTCGGCAAATAAACAAGGTGCGACATTTTGTTTTGTTTAGTTATTTACTGAAACAATAATCAAAATCAATAATTCGATAATCAATATTCTATCAATAAAGATATGGCGCCAAATTGGCGACGCGTGTTTATCAACACATTGCGACGACTAGTGTGGCATTTAGAGTAATTAACGTCAAATATGTTTATAGTAATCATCACTATCTCCGACTTACTTTGAGTCAGTGTGTAAATGTCCAGACACTAATTTATTTTGGGTCATCTAATTAAAATACAAATTGTGACACTATCCAATTGTCGAACTGCAAAGATTTTCGCTATATAACTAGAAATATACAACGGAATGTTTCTATGGATTATATTGGATACTGAAACTAGCGTCATTGGTTACTTTTTTTGGAGTATTATGATATCGTGTGAATGGTAACAAAATGTTAATTTTCAAATCTGAATAAATAATCTTAACATGATTGATGTTCTCTCCGTAACCTACATACTAACGCATAATTAAAAATACTGATTGTTTTCAATAAAAGTGATAAATATTTAATGGACTGTTATTAGTATGTACTATTAAATATCGTTCAATAACCAGCTCTGTATTTGCTATTGAATTGCTCAGATAACTTCAATAACCACGATTTATTTATATTGTTAAATGTGTACAATCCCAGCGACGTTCAAATGTACACTCTTGTCCAAATTAGGCATCATGAGTCATTAAGAGACTATGCAGATTAGTCGCGGATATATTAATTTGTTCCGTATTTTATATACACTATACACTGTTGCATTTATTTTCTATCAAAACTGTAGAGTTTTGGTATTTTTTGAAAAGTGTTTGTCTGAGTAATTTAAAACACGTTTAGATGAAAAGTAAGCAAATTTTTCAAAATAAAACTCTGAGGGTTTTACGGGGACATAAATGTGTCATTAAAGTGTTTAATGATGCAATCAACAATACTAACAAAATTTAGTGAAAAATTAAACTATAATCTAGGACTCTAGTTGGGGACTTGTAATTAAACATTATGGTATTCATGTCATTGACCTAACTCGACAACCACCGATGGTGACGTACGTAACTAAAACACTAATTTCTATTTAAACAGTGTGCTTTCAATTAGAAAAAAAACAGTGTGTTTTCATGAAAAACATGAAATTGCTCCACAGATTTACAGTGTACAAACAATGTATTCTTTATTAAAGCTAGAGGGTCGTCACCTGCGCACGCGCGGGAATTGAGTCCCAAGCGACGATAACAACACACGCTAAAAACGCAAAGGCTTATGGGTAGACGCTTGTTTGTAAACAATGACACGGCGCTATGGCCACCTGACGCATGCGTAGGTGGCGACTCTCCCGCTTTAAAGCAATGATATATTAGATGGAAATTGTGTTTACAATTTGTTCAAAATTTTACTAGAAATGGTACCAATTTGTCATATTTTACTTTCAACTGCAATTGTTATGTTCAAGTTATCGACCTTACAGTTCGTTTACAAAGCTAATGTGATTCCAACCTGAAAATACCGGTATACTCTTAAAGACATAACAAAATTGTAATTATATCTGGAACGGGTGGGATGAAGTAAAAATACACTGATTGTCCAATTTTAGAATTGCAAAATGGCGTGAGGGATATTGATGGATGCTATTTAATAGGACTGGAACAGGGACATACCCGGCCGCTCATTGGGTCTTTAGGATCTTGAAATTCGCAATCTTTCAGATCTTGAATTCTATAGTGACACGCAAAAATATTCGAAAAAAATTCGCAGCTAATTATGCATTACGCCCCAAGTAGGTTTAGCAGTATTATTAAAAACTGTACAAAAACTTGCCTGCTTATGTAAAATTATAAACTAGCCTTTATGTTCATTCTGCCAGAACGAGGATTAAACATTTGAACATGTATTAGTGTTTTGTGCGCAACAATTCAGGAGATAAATTCAGGCCGAGTGTAGTATTATTAATTGAGGCAACTAATTAGTTTGTATTGACTGAGTAAAGAGTACTCCAACAAACATACATTGCTATAGCGGTGAAATCTAATGTTGATCAAAATACAACAATATGCTCAATTTCAAACAAAATCACTAAAAATAAAGAACAGATCCAAATTGGGCGAAAACACTTGTTCATTGATACTGAAAGTATAAATCTACTAATATTTAAAGAGACGATTATTTATTTCTCATTTATATTACTTAATTGCTTTTATTGCCTTTTTACTCTCGGCGCAACAAAGGCGTTCCTCTCATCTTTATAAATACATCAATTTCACAATTCAAACAGAAATGTAGGGGTTTCTATTGGCCGATTGAATGTCATTGGAACGTTTTTGAATGACGTTGTTGCGCACTGTGCTCGTTCGTTGGCCGGTTTGATTCAATTTGATTGAAATTAATAAATATTTATAAAACTGATGAAATGCCTTTGTCGAGGCATGGATAACTGTCACTGCTTAGCTTAGTCAAACTTTGCGACAGCTGGTAACCGGTCATGAGGTAAATCTCTGTTGCGGTAGGCATGCACAAACACGATGAAGGACGTGTTCTTTTATTTCGCTTTACTGTTCACTGGGAGTCTTCCTTTCGTGGTCATGTTCTTGAACTACAGTCACTACCACGACCACCGTGCGCACACTCTGTCCCGTAACGATGACAGTGACACAGTGAAAGAGGAATCAAGTTCGCGCGGAGAACGTCCGGAAATTGCGTCCGATGTTGGAACTAATCTCACCACGTATATAAGAACTAAGTTTGGACACTCGTGTTATAGAGAAGAAGCATTCGATATGTGGTGGGAACGTTACTACCTGGATGACGAGCTGCTTGTCGCAGATCAAGCAGGTTGCGGGAAAAGGCTGTCAGACGTATTTATCATTGGTGCAAAAAAGTGTGCCTCTGACGCCGTCAGAGATCTGTTAGCCATTCACCCTTACGTTATGTTCAGTCGTACCAGGAGTGCGGAAATTCATTTTTACGATAGACACTACAAACAGGGTGTTGACTGGTATCGAAATCAATTTTCCTATGCTAGAGAATGGCAACTCATTCTGGAAAAGACACCACAGACCATCTCCTTTCCAGAGGATGCTCCAAGGAAGATGGCAACAGAAGCAAATCAAAACACAAAGATTGTTGCCATTTTGTGCGACCCCGTTGTCAGGGCAATGTCCGATTATGAGCACGAATTGAAAGTGAAATGGTATAAAATATTTAACCCTCCTTATTATAGAATCATACGCAAATCATTCAAATTGTCGGTCTTTAACGAATCAGGGCTGGTAGACGCTGGCAACGAGCTCATCAATATGGGCATGTACTCGAAACACATGAAGAGGTGGTTGGAATATTTCCCGAAGACACAAATTCATCTGGCTGATGGGAACGATTTTAAACTTGATCCTGTATCAGAAATACAGAAGATTGAAACATTCCTTGGATTGCCAAACTTTGTACAACAGAAACACCTTGATTTCACACGTTCCAAATTTTACTGCATAATTTTTCCAAGACTTAGATGTCCACAATTGCGAATAAAAGGTCGAGAACATCCCACATTGCCGGACGAAGATCTAGCAAAACTATATGATTTCTACCGACCGTATGACATTGAACTTCAACAGTTATTTAACAGAACGTTTTCATGGATCAGTAATGAATGAACATGGCGTTGGTGTTAGTCCTAGTAGATGTACCTATTACAATTACAATCTACGCAACTAGGTACTTCCAAACCAGCTGTCTGCGACATTTGCCGTCATAAAAAAAAACATACACTGTTAATCAAGACTCCTACATTTTTAGTACTTTTCCCACTGTGTATATTTTCAAATTGGTCTTGATAGCTCTAGTTTAATGTTTTAATATGAACTCAAGAAACACTCGTTTCTCCGATGATAACATGATGATATTTCCCATATTTCCAGTGTCATCATTTCACGAATCCGTATCAGACGAATCAACATTTGAACCCAGCGTTCACGATCATATCAATAGTCTCCATACCGTCATCAGTAAACAAAAAATAAAGGGCGGTGAGTCTTGTTTGATATGGGGCTCATGACGACGTACACAACGCACGTAAAATACAATGTTTGTTCACGCGAAATTCTACGCACGCGCTGCGCGACGTCCACCGCCCTTTAAATACAATGCAGCCATAATCTAGCATTTTCGTATGTTCAATTATGTCTATAACTTGCAACAATTTATTCAATATTACTCTTAAAACATGTTAGTGTACAAATCAATGTCTTTGTCATTGAATCATTCTCATTATTTGTACGAATATCTTTAAAGGGCGGTAGTCGTCGTGCAACGCATGCGAGAGATATATGGGTATCGTATAAACAAAGATGGCGACTTTGACTGTTGCGCAGATCAACGAGCAAAAACTGAGACGTCACCATGCTTTATTTGGGTATTGTTTAGGTGATTGGAAGGTATCGAAGGAGTCACCGGTGGTACTTAGTGCAAGTCACGCCTAGGTCAAACCTCATACTTGTGATTTTCATTAGAAGAGCGCATTGGATTGTGGGAAAATCAATGTTTATAAACATAAATGTCGTACATGCGCAGCGCGACGACCACCGCCCTTCAATATATGAATATATCTCAAACGCAAAGAGTCGCCGAGATCTCTTTGAGTTTGAGTGGACCACGAGACTTGTTTTGCCACCGTCATTTTCTATCGTCATCGCGTCCATTATTCTCTTATATAACTAAGGTAGACGTGAACAGTGAGCGCGGTAACGGGGGTGGGGGGTGGGGATGGGGTGGAACGCAATTTGAGAAACGAAAACAAGTCTCGCGGCTATCTCGCTCTCAACGAGATCTCGGCGGCCATTTTCTTCTGAAGTCTATCAGTATTTGGTGAAAAAGCATTTTTTAATAGAATTATTTTTAATTTTATTTTTAATGTAACAACATATCCTCATTCCGGGTGTAAGGCTTTGTACGAAGAAATTGGAGAAAAAATACAAAAAACGTGCACAATAATTTTGGTGGAGAAAACAATTGCGTTCAAGTTTGAATGCTTAGTTCGTCAAGTGGCAAGGGTAAACACACACATACATGTAAACATCAAGTTTGCATTACAGAACAGTAATTAAAATGACAGAAGGCACATTTTGAAAGAAGCTATGGATATATTGAATGTATTCAGTTCAGTTCAGCGACTCATATACCCATGCCAAAAAAACACGATAGTCAATGAAGTGGTCTACATGTTCAGCGAAATGTTGCACAAGCGGTTTCCATTTTCGCATTCGGAGTGTAATAATAATAATAATAATAATAATAATAATAATAATAATAATAATAATAATAATAATATCTATACGGAATCGTACCAGTCGTCATGAATGTCTACTCCCCGGGTCTACTCCAGGGAGTAGACTTTAACATTTTTATAATTGAAGCTTACTGCAAATCACTGGTAAAATACGGGATCGCAAATTAACCCTGAAAAGAAGATTATGCTAATATGTTACCATGGTCCCAGCTGTGACGATGATACACCGGGCGCACATGATGAAATCCGACATAAGCTGGATGTGGAAAGACAGTATGAGGGGTTTGTTCAAACAATTTACTCTACTATTTGCTCTCGGTATTCCGTTCATTTGTACGGTTTTAATATTCAGTCATTACTACGGTCGCTACGAGCCACTGTCGCCAACGGAAGCTAGGAAAGCAGCGGACGCCATTTTGGAAACGGACAATCGTCATCACACGACGCTGTCGTCAGATGTTACAACCGATCTAAGTGCATACATCCGGGCAAAATTTGAAAATTCGTGTTACCCGGAAGATGCATTTACACGATGGTGGAAAAGCTACGAATTACCAGACAAACATCGCGTACCGAATGAAGATGGCTGCCGTCAAACCCTGTCCGATGTTTTTATTGTTGGCGTAAAAAAGTGTGCCACGGACGCCGTTCGAAATCTGCTTGTGGTACACCCGTCCGTTATGTTCAGACGGTCACCTAGTACAAACCTACAGGAAATCCATTTTTATGACCGACATTACAACGATGGCTATGGATGGTACAGGAAGCAACTTCCGTTTGTTAAAAAGGGACAACTGGTTCTTGAAAAGACGCCGCAGACCTTTTCTTTTCCGGAAGATGCACCCAGGAAAATAGCAACGGAGGCCAACCCCAAAACAAAAATAATCGTAATTCTCTGTGATCCCGTTGTCAGGGCAATTTCCGATTACGTTCATGAACGGAAAGTGAAGGCGTATCAACGATTCCGTCCTCCGTATTATCGCATTGATAACAAATCCTTCGAAAAGTCCGTTTTTAACGAATCAGGTATGATAGATTTTGATAACGAACTCATAAAAATGGGCATGTACTCGAAACACATGAAGAGGTGGTTGGAATATTTCCCCAAGACGCAAATATACGTAATTGATGGCAACGATTTTAAAGTAGACCCTGTATCAGAAATACAGAAGATTGAAAAATTCCTTGGATTACCGTCATATTTGCAAAAGGAACATCTTGACTTCAACAGCGACACCAAATTTTATTGCATTGTCTTCCCTAAAATTCGTTGCCCTAATAAAACAAAAGGAAGAAGACACCCCCAAATTCCAACCGAGGTTACGGACCAACTTTATGCTTTCTATCAGCCATATGACAATGAACTTCAAAATTTACTAAACAGGAAATTTTCATGGATGAGATAAGAAGTGGTGCAACTGGGCAATAACTTGTGCTGTACATCAATTGAAACGAAGATATAAGCGGTACGAACGTAATGTATTGCGTTGTACATGTACTAGCCAACAAACCAAACTCGAATAACTTTGTATTTCTCATGATGCATCGATATCCGACGTGAGGCGAACGTTTCCTGATTGGAAAATGCAATCAAAGAATATGGGAGATTCAGTTCTCAGAATCTCACGTTATGTGTGATGTCATAATGAATGATGCTTTTTAGCTTGTGATTACCATTTTGCACAGTTTAGTAAAAAAAGATTGCATTTTTACCACATAGCAGTAGAATTATTAGAAGGAAAAAACATTTAAAAAACAAATATATAAAATTTATATTATATTAAGATATTCATAATGTAAATTTACAAACTCTCGGCACAACAAAGGCATTCCTTCATCTTTATAAATATTTATCAATTTCATAATTCAAACTAAAACGAGGGGTTTCTATTGGCCGATTGAATGGCATTGGAACGTTTTCAAAATGACGTCGCTTGATTCAAATGTCATTGAAAATTATAAATATTTATAAAGATGAAGGGAATGCATTTGTTGTGCTGTGCTGAGGTCAGCTAAATCGTGCTCGCTATAAATTATTATAGACCCTAAGAATTATAAACTCATTTACATATTTCATGAGGTACAATGGCTGTGCTAACGTAAAGATATTTCAAACATGCTTTTGTTGATTTCAGTGTAATAGTGTGAACATAGCGGAATTCAGAGACATGGTTGACAGATTGTTTATCCAAATATTAATGCATCACCGAAAAAACGTTGATAGAGAATGGCGACGCCTTGTAAACACAAATCAGTTACCATGCTGTAGTGGATTGTACCATAAAATGAGTATAGATTGCCCATATGAAACCTGGCAAATCGATTTATGATTTATGACCGATTTCCTTTCTTCATGCCAAACTACACGGTTCACCTTTGTTGCGCTAGTGTACGTCACACATACACATCCAAAGATTTTTTGAATATTTGAACTGTTTAACAATTGCTTGTGTTTGCACATTGACCATTTAACTTCAGTTCAAGGCGCGCCCGATTTCCTTTGATTGCGTTTCGATTAACAACCGATGCATGCGTTGCATGGGACTCATATCGAACACATGTCGACTATGGTGCTTTTTGAGTGCTGATGGTATCAAAACTATCCATATATATATCGAGTTACGAAAACATCGAGTTACACAAATGACTACGCCCATGTTTCAGAAACCACACCCACTTTTGATGAACCACGTCCTAATTGTAACTCGATGTTCAATTAATAGTTAGCAGAACTTCGAGTTAGGGGCAATATACATTTTTGTTTTTGTGGAACGTCCACATTTAATACGTGTAATATAAATTTGTTGGTTAGTTTAACGTTCAAGTTTAATAACTCAAATTTTAATTAACTGTTAACCGAACTTCGAGTTACGGGAAACATAACACGTTAAGCAAAACAAAAAATTATGATGCCCGTAAGTCCGTTAACTGTTAATTAAAGTTCAAGTTACCAAATGTGGAAATTAAACAACATTAGCAACTTATGTTGCAGTAACTTGAAGTTTGGTTAAATGTTAATTGAACATCGAGTTATAATTTGGGCGTGGTTTTGCAAAGGCAGACGTAACTCGATGTTCGTAACTCGATGTCCGTAACTCGATGTCTGTAACTCGATGTCCGTAACTCGATGTCTGTAACTCGATGTCTGTAACTCGATGTCCGTAACTCGATGTCCGTAACTCGAACAATTCAGCATCTCATATATTTGACAGTCTCATGGTACAAAATATTGTATGTACAATGTATTATGGGAAATATCTCCCACTAAATTTTCGCTTAATTAAATGTCAATTGAATTGAAAACATATTAATATCAAAACACTTTCTCATTCCATGTCATCAAACACAAAATCGAGATATGAAGAAATACCTATCACCATAGAAACTCATCCCCCCATAAAGTTTACACTTTCCATTAAAACTCTACTATGGTTGGAAATTATGTTCAGTGTCTTATGCCGGGAGCCACCTGTAGTAAAGATGATATCCAGGACTTTCATAATGCAACCACTATAATTATATACCCAAATTTCTGCTCACAACTTTTCCAAAGGATTTGGATTATAAGTGCTGCGCTCGTTTGTTAGGTAAAACACATATTGGTATCTAGAGAACCAACAGCTAACACGCTTTTATTTATGTTGTTACATGTAATGTTAGGTTTTGAGAGCTGCTGAGTCCAAAAAAGTACAACCAAATGAACCAAATAGCGTGTGTAACTGACATACCTATGCGGGATTTGATTTGCTAGTACTCAATCCATTATTAACACCAGGCTACACGACTGACATTGACTGCTTATTCTATTGATGAATGAGAACAGAACGTACACAGGATGGGCACAACGGCGCGTTTCAAAAACGGGTTGTAGGCAGGAATTTTCAAATGATCATGATATGTAATGTTTTACAGCACATTCCGTCTGAAATGTTTAACTTGAACACTACGATAAAGATTTTCCGTTTTCGACATTGTGAAATTCTTTCGTTTTTATGCAGAAAAATACAGTAAAATCATATTTATTAAAGTTATTGTTCATACATGTGTCGTTGAACACACTACATAGTTTATAATTTCATTCAGCCAAATAAAAGGCAAAAATTATCTTTTTTCTGTAATATCTGTAATATCTTTGTGTAATCGATAATTATGAAAATTATATATGGAGCATAGGGAATTACATTTCGTTATGAATTATTTTTAATACAAATTTTTGTATTATCTTCTCAAAATATTTTTTTCAGGTTATGTCTGAAAATCATATGGCACACTCGATAGCGTCTTATATTGTGGATTCGACCAAATGACCTAGTGAATCCTGAGGCTTCAATTATTTTATCATATTAATTTGAAATTTACAAAATTGCTCACTTAGACACGGGTTCTTTTTATTTTATTGATACAACCTTTGACCCATTGTTCTGGTCGTCTATATATTCCCATTAAAGGGATACCTTAGTTAGTTAAGCCTAATTTCACAACATATTCTGGATTAAAATAACAATGGATACCAAAAGATAGATTAACATTGTAAACAACATAAACAATAGTGTCCCAAGATTCTTTGGTGCAATCATAGACCTTAGAAAACAGGGACATACTACTGTAGGTATCCCTTTCATGTAACCTTAGTTATAATCCTCTACCAAATTAACACCTTAGAGAAACTGATAATAAATCTATGTCAACACCACTGTTACATCCTCTCCTGTTTCATAAGCCAAACATGGCTGCCAGGGTGTAGCTACACAAAATGAGCCAACTTTGTGGTTAGAATATAATCAGAAAAATTACATTTGATTAAAACTGAATAGCCAAGCCCATTCTATTGATACGAGTGAAACTAAAAATTGCAAAGTTAACAGTTTTTATTCCACAATGAAAACAGGAAAGGGAAATAAAAATGGTCAGTTTTCTCTACAAGAAAACAAAACTGCCTAAACATAAACAATGGCCTGTCAAAATTTTTCATCATATTTAGAACAGATATAGCATAGTGTACCCGTTATACATTGACAAATGTGAATATTGGCACAGCATAACTTATCAAACATATAAAAAAGCGTAGAAAGGTAAGAACTAAAACTGTTTCAGATGTATAGGTATATGTATTAATGGGATTATCTATACAGGGGATTATAACCCACGTTGCACACAGGAAACTGGATTTTCTTTTGTCTTAGACAGAAGTTGCATGTCCCTGTTTTCTAAGGTCTATGGTGCAATCCATGGGATTGAGCGGTTCCCCATTAAACACATACATGTACTTGTTATTTTGCCATTGATTTAGCATGCACAATGTTAACCGCTAGGGTTGTATTCATATGCAGATTGTAAGCTGATATAATTTTTACATAACTTGTAAACCGGCATTGTATTAGCTCAGATATTTCGTAGACCTACACTGTTTTTGTGCAGACTAGTTCATACAACCAGCTATAAAGGTTTAATTGTCATGGTAAAATCCCAAAGTCACGCGAATTTGTATAATCGCATGATGCAGAAATTCTATTGATCCTGGCACACTCCCTCTATCGACGGTCTGACAATGGCTATTGTTTTAGGTGTGAAAAGGCTTATCATCTGAACGGGGTGAAATGTTTCTTTGGAATGTCACTTGATCTATTGCAAAAAATTCGTCATTTATTTGACCTGATTTCCAGTCATACTAGTTTAAAAAGAATATAATCTTTGACCTGATTATGTAAACGAAGTATTTTGTTGAGAGGTCAAAACTCAATGTCTAGTCGTACATGTTGTGGAAAGCAGCGATAGTTTGAAATGTACATTGTTTGCTGTACACCAATATTTTAACTATGTCTGAAAAACATTTAGCGACAGGTAAGTGTCACGAAAGTCGCGAAATAATTATCTTTCATGCGTGTGTGATTCCGACCCCAGACGGTTCGATTTTAATAGGTTGGCCTCGTGATCGACAACTGGGATATCGCACATGCACGAATCGCCATTAGTCTTGTTACTGATAATGTTCTGACTGTTGTTTTTGTTGATGGTGTGTTTTTGTTGTCCTAATTTTAGAACAAGGAAGTAAAAACGGTCAGCTACGAAACAGAAGCGGTGGGAAATGACGAAATGTCATAAGAATATAAAACCCATGGTTGTTTTTTTAAAAAGAAAAGCGGAAGAAGATCATAACCGGAAGTTAGTTAATGGTCACGTTCCTTATTAGGCATCGAGATGCTTGAAGTAGATTATGTCTGAAAATCATATGACACACTAGATAGCGTCTTATATTGTGGATTGGACCAAATGACCTACTTAGTATTGAGGCTTTAATAAGTTTATCACATTCCTAATTTGAAATTGACAAAATTGCTCAAGAACGCGTTTCACTTTAGACACGAGTTCTTTTTATTTTATTTATACAACCTTTGACCCATTGTTCTGGTCGTCTATATATTCCATTAAACCCATACTTGTTATATTGTCATTGATTTAGCATGCTAAATGTTAACCGCTAGGGTTGTATTCATATGCAGATTGTAAGCTGATACAATTTTTACATAACTTGTAAACCGGCATTGTATTAGTTCAGATACTATATCGTAGACTTACACTGTTTTTGTACAGACCAGTTCATACAACCAGCTTGGTTGTTGTACAGCTTTCGCTACGGTGCAAAATTTGGTTTTGACAGGAGATATTTTCTTCTTCGATTATTGTATTAAACAATTGCCCAAGGTTGAGTTCGGCCTTGTGACGGTTTACATATTCTGCTCTCCAAAACAGTACAGTGAAGTTTATAAATATATATAAAAAAAACACCATAGCATACAGGAACGATATCTGAATGAAATACGCTTATTCCACAAAGTTGCGTCTGCTATAAAGGATTAATTTTCACGGTAAAAACCCAATTTCACGCGAATTTGTAAAGCGCTATATAATCGCATGATGGAGTACATGTAATTCTATTGATCCGGGCACACTCCCTCTATCACCGGTCTGGCAATGGTTATTGTTTTAGGTGTGAAGCGACTTATCATCTGAACGGGGTAAAATACTTCTTTGAAATGTCACTTGATCTATTGCAAAAAACGTGTCATTTATTTGACCTGATTTCCAGTCATACTAGTTTAAAAAGAATATAACCTTTGACCTGATCATGTAAACGAACTATTTTGTTGAGAGGTCAAAACTCAATGTCTAGTCGTACATGTTGTGGAAAGCAGCGATAGTTTGAAATGTACATTGTTTGCTGTACACCAATATTTTAACTATGTCTGAAAAACATTTAGCTACAGGTAAGTGTCACGAAAGTCGCGATCTAATTATCTTTCATGCGTGTGTGATTCCGACCCCAGACGGTCCGATTTTAATAGGTTGGCCTCGTGATCGACAACTGGGATATCGCCCATTAGTCTTGTTACTGATAAGATTCTGACTGTTGGTGGTGGTGGTGTAGTTGGTGATGGTACAATTTCTTTAGTACTCATTTTAGAACACGGCGGTAAATGAGGCCCGCTACGAAACAGAAGCGGCGGGAGATGACGAAATGCCATAAGGTTGTGTGAAGCAAGCGCTGCCCCACCCAGCCCCAGACAGGGAATCACTCGCAAATTTTGAGAGTATATCCACAATACAAAACATATTGCAAAGAGTGTTGTACAGAACCGCCCTGTCGAGAGGGCGCCATCTCAGTGTGAATTCCCCTTTTAGCTCATTGTTCTTTTTGCCCCGGGAATTGTTGGCTTTTGGGCGAAAAACACATAAACAATAAAAACAACGAACATAACATCACGACTAAACGATTCATTGTACAATTGTAATATAAGATGTTTGTTCATTTGGGTATAATTAACATCGAATACTATAAGGGATTACATGCAAATTTACATTAAAATGCACACACTTCTCCAGGTTCTAAAAACATTTGAAAGCAGTAGTATGCATACTACAGCATTTATGTATAGTTTCTATTTTGTACATTATTTACGTTTTTAATATTTTTTTTATAATTAAATGTCCGTATTCACAGATATCTCACAAACCACTTACCTCTATTCAACAAGACACTGTGCAAGACACTTTTAATTTTTGCATGTCCACCTAGCTGTCGACTTTTATTTACGATGCCATTTGGCGTTGCACGTTTGTGTTACGCAAGTCTTTAGCAGGAACAATAGCTCTTCTGTGTCGATGAAAATTCTAATATCTGAAAATCACAAATTTAATGACACAAAATACATATAAATGACTAAAATACCATCGCAATCATTAAACACCGACACAAGAAGAGCTATGGGCACATAAATGTCCACTCACATGTAATACATTTTTTTTTTATATAGGTGACCCTCTACCGCTTCTAAAAGATGGTACAATTCGATTATATAGTATGAGATATTGTCCATATGCACAGAGGTCAAGATTGGCGTTACTTGCTAAAGGAATACAGTATGTAGTTGTACGCTTTGAATTGGATTTACTACCCCACTGCTGTGTGAGGAATCTTGTAAACTATCACTCTTGTAAACTTTGGCTAGGGAATTCAGTATTAACCAAGGTCAAGATCTCGTCAATTTACATAAAAACAATTATAGGGGTTTGCAAAAATAATAGCAAGTTAAAATCAGTAAATGAATTTTGCAGTCTTCAAGTGTTGGTTCTTGTTTAATAAATTAATGTTATGGTCAATACAATGAATCATATAACCAATTATTAGTGGTATACGCAAACTTTGATTCTCTGCTCTTCATTTTGTTTGTAGTTTATATATGTAGTAACATATTAGGATATAAAGCAATTGATATACAAATTATTGTGGAAAAGTCATTACAGAGTGAATTCTTTTTATTCTACAAGATAGAATGTAATGTTGTCTGTCTCGTGCAAATGTGTACTAAAATTAGTTGTTGACGTCAGCCTGGCGTTTTAAAATCAAAGTCAGATTTTGGTCGACATCTAGGTTGAGGTAGTGATTCGATTAAACAACTTTGTACTAATTTTAAGCAGTTTACCACTGTTATATTGATTTTCGATCTATCATACATACGCAACTGTTAATATGGGCACTTGATGAACAGTTGTGTATATATCTGCATACTAGTATATTAACTATTCTAAACATATATAAAGACAATAAAACAAACATCCGTATTATCATCGTCTATACTTCCTTTTCTAGGTATGAAACAGTTAATTGCAATTTAAAGTACAAACCTAAATGGTTATTTGAAAAGAATCCTAAAGGACTCGTACCTGTGTTGGAACACAATGGTAAAGTCGTATTTGAATCTTTGATAGTAAATGACTATTTGGACCAGGAGTATGTTGGTAAAAGACGACTGAATAATCGAGACATTTACCTGAAAGCCGTGGATGATATGGTTATGAGTATATATAATGACAAGGTAATCAAATAGTTGAAATCAGTTGTCAAATGTTTCTTCGCAATTAGGCGAATATTTGTCTAAGAGGGGGGGGGCTAATATGTGAGCCATTGGCTCGGATATAGCTACAATTTGTTCTTTATCGATGATATCTGTCAAAACATTTTTGTATTATCTTTTGTCTTTATTAGGTTATACGCCCCTTTTTCAGACTGAATTTGGCGGCAAGGACTGACACACGTGAAAAAACGATGGCTCAGTTAATGAAAGGGCTCCGGATTGTAGAAACAGAACTTAAGAGACGAGGAACACAGTATTTTGGAGGTAGAACCTTTTCTGAAAATTACACCAAGTTTATTTATTATGCTACATTAGTTTCCTTCTTGTTTTGATAATATGTTTCTGTGCATGAATCTTGTGTTTGAGTATGTTTCACACAAAAGATCAACAAAACCAGGGAGTTTTTATAGTTAATACATTGATTATTGCGCCATTTTGACCTACACCATCCGCTCTACTTTTCACATATCAATACACTAGGGTGATCAGGTGACAGATCACGCGTGAAATAAAGTAATCCCCATAACGTTGCACTATATTAGTAAGTTGCTATCATTTTATTAGGCATACCCAATGATTCTAGAATCAGACCATGAAAGGTACCCATTGATCTGAAGCACGTCTTTACTCGGTACAAGTAGTCTAGTTTCTAGTATATATTGTCCCGGGAGCTGATATAACTGTGCTGTAATAGTGTTCATGTATTTCACATTGTCTTGTCTAATGAACTTCTTTGCGCATTTTATGATATATCTGGAGAAAACATTCAAAAACAAGGTATGATTAACACCTCATCTAAATTCAATTGAGTTACCACTCTTGATTAGGTCATCGTAGAAACACAATGCGAGGAAATAATAACACATGGTGCTGGTTTTGTGCTTTTAATGTTGTTTTTTAACTTTTTTTTACAAACGCAATGTGACATTATAATATAAACACAATACTGAATAGTGATGCCTTAAGAAATGCTTATTTCATCAATCCAGTTTCTTTGCAAACAGCAAAATCACATGAATATGTTTGTTTTGCACTTTACGGCTGTATGTGTATGTTGAAGTACATCTATTGAATATCATTCTACTGCCACTCGTAGGTACAATGACAGTGACATTAGCTGATATACAAAGACATCACATTTGTGTGGGATTTAATCCTGAATGAAATTTGCTGGTAGCCATTTTTCGAATATATTTTATTGTATTCTGATATTGCTGTAAAAATGTCTCAGCGCATGATGAAGTAAGATGAATTGTAACTATAAATTTCCTCATAATATTGTCGTTCTCACTAGGTTCTCAGCCTGGTATGTTGGATTACAATATGTGGCCTTTCTTGGAAAGATTGAAGAATACAGAAATCATAACGGGTGAAACAATCTTCAGCGATAAAGTCCCATTATTGGATAAATACATAGATGATATGATGAAAGATGGACCAGTGAAAGAAACGTATACTTCACCTGAAGTGCAGTTGAAATGGATAATGGGTTACAAGTCTGGTAAATTACAGTATGACGGATTGGAAGAAGTTAAATCCAAACTGTAGAGCATCTACAGTAATTTGCAAACCAAATTATAAAAATTCTGTTTTAAATTTCCACCCAGAATTATTTGCTTCTATTGAGTCTGTTTATGAACAGAGCACATAGTGATTTGAGACCTGCATCTGACACTGAAAGAGTACAATTTTAAAACAATATGTTTCACAAACCTGTAAGTAAGACGTCGAATATGCGGAGATTTGAATCATAATCTGATAACTCAGCATCATATTTGAAGGTGTGTGCAATCTCCATAGACAAAAAGTGATGTACAAGTACGTTACAGTTCATTGTGAGTTTAAATATTCCTACATAACACAGTGTAGTTTATAGTGTAATCAATACAATGTAGAAATACAATGATTTTAAAGTTATAGTTATATAATTTGGAAGATCAAAATTATTCACATAATTATGGCACGGACAGTTGAAGTACAGAGAGCAAATGTATCCCAGGAGTACTCACCTAGATAGTGTGCTCCGCAGGAAACTGAAAACTGGACCCGAAAGTATCGACGTTGGCAGCGCTTCTTGGCTCAACAATTTGTCCTCTTGGCCAACAAATGCTCTAAATTTTGCTAAATTTGAAAAAAAAGGAGTCAGAATATCGGTGCATACTCGTATACTTCAACTACGGGACTGTCCCTTTTCAATAACTTTTTTTTTCTTGTTGACAATTTGTCATAATGATTTGCATACAAAATAATGGCCATAGATTAAAATATAATGTTTCATTGCATATACGTATTTATTACTAATGCATACCATACCATGACAAGCATACTAGAGCTCAAAGCTTATTGTAATATCAAGAAATCTCAGAAACTGGAATTTTAAAAGATGTATATATTTAATAAAATTCATATACAAATGTAAAGTAGTCTTTGCTTTGTTTCAATAAATTATTTGTCCTTGTATACTTTGCATGAATAACTTACACACGAAATAATACCCATGTTGCATATGAGTATTTAATGCCATTGTTTAATTCTGTATTGTAAATATTCCTTCTCTCGTAGGATGTCATCCAGCCTCGTTCCAAGCATACTCGAGGCCAAAGCTTAATGTTATAACATATCTCAAAATTATGTTGTATTATGTAAACTAATTGTACCTTCAATAGCACAACAATGGAATTCTGATAGCTCCGGGCTAATACCTCCTTTGCTTTGTAATCCACACATTCAACACTATAAATTGTCTCTATAATCGTCATGCATTATACTATTATGCTCACATTTCATATCACTTGCAACATGGGGGGGGGGGTGTTCATCTTCCAGCAATTTCATAGCGTGCCAAGTTTCATCAAACAAATGTGAACCATTTCCTGGACTATAGATACGCTACCAATACGCTAAGATATTGACTATTAAACTCCAATATTCGCCAGAGACATACTTGTGAACATAAGTAACTAAATGAATCAGGGTGAACAGGATACCCTATGTAAAATGAACTTTGGTAATGCGTTGTTTTGCGAATCTCTCTCACAGAGGTGTACTAAACCTTGAACTTCTATGGAAATTATTTGGGTTGAAAGGACAAATTTTCACCTCCCCATAATGATGTCACAAACGAGTACCCTGATGTAGTCTTCAGATCAAAAGTTGAAAACAATAATATTGTAGGCGAACTTACATGTATTGTATTGACATATTCGAAGGTTTGGGTACGGATTGTATAAGTAAATGACATTCAAAGTTAACCCGTGCAGAACTAAGAAGACACAGTTACATAATAGGTGATTTTCCGTTCTCTGCGAGATCTTGCGTAATGCTTGAACGCCACGGATCGAACGTCTGCCGCAGAAATCTAGTGATTTGATTTTGAACCTTTGAAATTATATTTTATAGTTCAGTGTCAAAATGACAATTTTTCAGAAGGAAGTGTGACGTTTTATTCCGTCATCAAATGTGTATATTATATTATTATGCATGGGAATACCTACAAAATACTTTTGAGTTCTCGCGATGTTTTGACGCAACGACAATGACATCACCCTGTTTTTATGTTCGAATAGATATCGCAATGATCGGATCATGTGGAATATAATACCAAATTGTGTAAGATTTTCACTAATTAATACAGTAAATCATAGAGAGCAATTTTGAATCAATACTTCTAACATTCGAAGTGTAGTCATACATATATTTCATAGGTTGAATATGTGATATAACGATAAATTAAATATGGAAATTTACGTTCACAGTGGAAACCATGCTCGACACTACCATATTATACCGCTGTTTTATCATACATGATAACTTAGTGTATGATTTGAGAATTCAGTAATCAGATTCCAGGATATGCCTGGGTCAGCTCCAGCATAAATAATATCACTGGCGATGTATCTAACTAGATAGCATCTCACTTGGATTTTGGATTAACATAATCAGCTAGAGAAGCAGCAATTAATCACAATTTGAATTTTATTAATTATAGTACGATCAATGATAATACATTTGTAATTTGAATTTCTATAATTTGGGTTTCGCTTCTTCCAATCCGTCATATTGTAGATTACCAGACACGTAACCTGTTGTCCATTTCAACTGCACTTCAGGTAAGGTATACGTTTCTTTCACTGGACCATCCTCCATCATATCATTTATGTATTTATCCAATAATGGTACTTTATCGCTGAAGATTGTTTCCCCCGTTATGATTTCCTTGTTCTTCAATCTTTCCAAGAAAGGCCACATATTGTAATCCAACATACCAGGCTGAGAACCTAGTGAGAATGACAATATTATAATGAACTTTCGTTATGGATTGATTCAAAACTTATGATATACCGCGATAAAACCAACTGACAGACATCAGTATGACATTCGCCTCTCTTTGTGCTGTACACACTAGAGCCAAAACATCCATCACTACACAGGAAAGTCCGTAGAGACTTGAACATAAAGTGTCCATAACAAAAACCATTATTATCAGAAATGTTTATATATATTTTAATATGAAGATAAATAAATAAAGAATGATAATTCCAGAAACGTTTACCTGCAGACAAACAATAAATACCTCCATAAAACTGTGTTCCCCGTTTCTTAAGTTCCGTGTCAATAAAGATAAGTCCTTTTATCATTTTTGTTTCATTAGCTTTGTCCTTCTTCGCCGCAGCAAACATTCTGAAGAAGGGGTGTACAACCTAGTGACGAGGACACAATGAAATTAAAATGTGATAAATGGTTTTAGGATTTAAAGATATATAAAAAAAATATGAGGAATTCATTGCATTACATTGTAATTAATATTTGGAATAACATTTCTTTTATGACAAATCAGGTCTGTTGAAGCTAATAACAAACTAAAACACAGAATAAAACAATAACTTGTGTCTCACCCTTCCATTGAACACATTCATAACCATATCATCCACGGCTTTCAGGTAAATGTCTTGATTATTCAGTCGTCTTTTACCAAGATACGCCTGGTCCAAATAGTCATTTACTATCAAAGATTCAAATACGACTTTACCATTGTGTTCCAACACAGGTACGAGTCCTTTAGGATTCTTTTCAAATAACCATTTAGGTTTGTACTTTAAATTGCAATTAACTGTTTCATACCTAGAAAAGGAAGTACAGACGATGATAATACGGATGTTTGTTTTATTGTCTTTATATTTGTTTACAGTAGTTAAAACATGTTGCAGATATATACACACCTGTTATTCAAATGATGTACAATAGATCATAACACCGTACCATGCCAATGTCGTGACAAATGCACACTCCTAGAAACTTAATGCAAATGTGTGAGTCTGTAAAAATTAGATGTGCCATAAGGTATCTGGACAGAATTTTCATCATAATCTCTTTTGTTTCTGTTTCCTTAATCAAATCTTTAATTTTTTCATAATCAAACTATTTTCTAACATATGTTCATGACGTTTTGTGAGTTGACAAGTGGAACCTGTTTGAAATGGGGACTTCGTCATATATCACCCAACGAAATCTTGAAATATTGCACATCATTACATTTATAACTCCGTTGTTGTTATGAACATACTACAAAATTATCTCATCCTGGAAAGCGTTCACAAGGCCATTATCACTGTTATGTATCAATATTTATCTTTTAGTTACGTAACTCGGTACTTACTGTATTCCTTTAGCAAGTAACGCCAATCTTGACCTCTGTGCATACGGACAATATCTCATACTATATAATCGAATTGTACCATCTTTTAGAGGCGGTAGAGGATCACCTGAAAGAATAAAATTTAAAAAAAATTAAAACATAACAATTTCTGTAATATACTACGTCTACGAGAATAAGTATTAAACATTGTTCATGGAATATGTACACTCGCTACTGATGCAGATAAATTGTGTGTAATGTAATGTAATGTAATGTGATTTTTGATTTACGAATAAATAAAACGAAATTACATTAACGGGATGTGACTGATAACTTTTACTATGAAAACCTTAGCATCACGTGGGCAGGCCAGTCAAACTGGTTCTCACTACAAGAGGTTACGACCCCCCCCCCTGCCAAATGCTAAGGAAAACTGAAACATATATATACATATTTACATGAAATATTGTCCACCTATGCGGATCTGTTTGTGCAGGAATTTTACGACCGTATGCCCTTACTGACGTCAACCAAATTTATTACGTGGGAAGTTGTCACCCAAGGGTGACCTGGAGGTAGTTGTGGCAAAGGGTAACCTCATTCTCCCGAGTCCATAGTCCGGATGTAGTTTAAAATCTTACCCAGGACAAATATATACAAATTTAAATAAACTTAAACGTTGCCTTTATCAGGTAATACCTCACATGTGAGGTTGAGTTGGTGCAAGGTTTTTATGACCGTGTACCCTTACTGACGTCAACCAAACTTATTATGTGGGAAGTTGGCACCCATGGCTGACAAGTACTACACCTTGCCCAAGGGTGACAATAAAGTGGCACTAATGAGTGGAAATAAAATGCATGTGACATAATGCATTTTGTTGTGACACGTACATTTTTAAAACTACAGGAAATACATCTACTAATAACATTTCTAACCAGATTTGAACAAAATCTGTTCGACGTAGGGGGAAGTGTTAAGCAGGCGTGTGTATTACTGAAATTAACATATAACCGATAGAAATATACTGCATTACGTGAGACTAGTATAGTATTTCTGTGTTTCTGCCAGGGGCACGTCCGAAACATTGTGCACAGGGCTAACAGGTCTAATGTGGTCCTGGCTCCAGCAGCCATTTCCCGGTATCCGGCAGCCAATGCAACACTTCCGGGTATGGCAAGCTTCACATACAATCCGGGCATACAATACTTATGTACTCGGCTCATATCGATACATACCTGAGGCCAAATGTTCCTCGGACATCACAGTCGAGATATTGGTGGATAATAGATTATGCAGATGACGTCGTGTACAAAACAAAATACGAGTAACTGGTCGTATAGCGCTCATGACGGTGCCATTACTCTAACCTTTGACCTAGTTGTGAGAATTGAAAGTTCATTCAACTGCGTATACCAAAACAGTACGGGTACACAATTGCATATATGGGACTCACTGTTGCGTCATGTTTCAACGCCTTGCATGAGACGTACAGCTATAAGTTTCAATTGTCAATGTATATTTTAGACTAAAACCAAATATACACGAAATGCACTGTTTTAGGAATTTCCAAATAAAGATAGGAAAATCATTGGGGTATCATTAACCCTGGCGGGGGGGGGGGGTCTACTTGCATAGAAGTGCAATACGGGTATGTGCCGCCCGACTGGGGTGTCATTTCACGTTATTTTGTTTAGAAGTGGGTAGCCATTTATCAATGGTTTGGTTTAGAAGTGTGTAGCATTTATTTACTTTTCACAGGTCCTTATATTTAAAGCCAAATACTGAAAAAGGCTTAATATAATGCATTGCCCGGATGCGCTCGCTGGTTGCGAAAGTTGTGAGCTGGGTGTTGTTGTTTTTCGCTGAAAACACTTGTGTTTAGAAGTGGGTAAATAAATAGAAAAAAAACTATCTACGCCAAAGCTTCAGCTCTCGAGTCAGATATCCCTCAGCCTCATGATTAAGAGGCAGTGTAGACGACTTGAGTATGATTGGACATGTTGCTTGGACGAGTATGATTGGACGAGCATGATTGGACGAGTATGATTGGACGTGTTACTTGGACGAGTATGATTGGACGAGCATGAATGGACGAGTATGATTGGACGAG